CTGATCTCACAGCACCACAATCACCAACACAAAAAGAGACTTCTGCGACCCACAGGTGTGGGTTTTCCTCCCACGCCAAGCAGTGGACACTGGCTGGCTGTCCCGTAACTCAGCTCCAACGCCATCCACCTGGAGACAGTCAGATCCCACAGGGTGAGGGCTCCGGCCCCATGACTGCCCCCTCCCCAGACCCCAGTCATAAGTTGGGGCTTGGAGAACTCTGACTGAACGCTCATCTTTTCATCTGCTTTTTTTTTTTTTGAGATGGAGTCTCGCTCTGCCGCCCAGGCTGGAGTGCAGTGGTGCGATCTCAGTTCACTACAACCTCTGCCTCCTGGGGCTCAAGCGATTCTCCTGTCTCAGCCTCTTGAGTCGCTGGGATTACAGGTGCCCACCACCACGCCCGGCTAATTCTTTGCATTTTTAGCAGAGATAGGGTTTCACCATGTTGGCCAGGATGGTCTCAATCTCCTGATCTCATAATCCACTCACCTCAGCCTCCCAAAGTGCTGGGATTACCGGTGTGAGCCACTGCGCCCAGTTTTTTTTTTTTTTTTTTTTTTTTGAGACATAGTCTCACTCTGTGACCTAGACTGGGTGCAGTGATGCAATCTCGGCTCACCGCGAACTCCACCTCCCAGGTTCAAGCTGCCTCAGCCTCCAAGCAGCTGGGATTACAGGCACCTGCCACCACACCCGGCTAATTTTTGTCTTTTTAATAGAGACAAGGTTTCACCGTGTTGGCCAGGCTGGTCTCGAACTCCTGAGCTCATGATCTGCCCATTGTGGCCCCCCAAAATGCTGGGATTACAGGTGTGAGCCACCATGCCCGGCCAGACGCTTCTCTTTGGGTTCAATTAATTTGCTGGAGCAGCTCACAAAACTCAGGGAAGCACTTCCTCAGTTTACCAGTTTACTATAAAGGATATTTCATAGGATACAGATGGACAGATGCGTTGGGCCAGGTATAGGGAAGGGACTCAGGGCTTCCTTGCCCTCCCCCACACACCACCCTCCAGGAATTTCCACCAAGTCCAGCGGTGTGGAAGCTCCCTGAGCTCAGTCCTCTGGTTTTTAAGGAAGCTTAGCATTCCCTCCCCTGGGGCACAAGGTAGGACCCTTGAAGGTGGGGAGATTTGAGTCCCTCCTTGGGGCAGGTGAAAGATGGGAGGGGCCGGGCGCGGTGGCTCAAGCCTGTAATCCCAGCACTTTGGGAGGCCGAGGCGGGTGGATCACGAGGTCAAGAGATCGAGACCATCCTGGTCAACACGGTGAAACCCCGTCTCTACTAAAATACAAAAAAAAAATTAGCTGGGCATGGTGGCGCGTGCCTGTAATCCCAGCTACTCAGGAGGCTGAGGCAGGAGAATTGCCTGAACCCAGGAGGCGGAGGTTGCCGTGAGCCGAGATCGCGCCATTGCACTCCAGCCTGGGCAACAAGAGCGAAACTCCGTCTCAAAAAAAAAAAAAAAAAAAAAAAAAAAAAAAAAAAAAAAAAGAAAGATGGGAGGAGAGGTCAGTGGGACAGATTCTGTCCAACATGGAGAAACCCCGTCTCTACCAAAAATACAAAATTCGCCAGGTGTGGTGGCAGGTGCCTGTAATCCCAGCTACTCGGGAGGCTGAGGTAGGGGAATCACCTGAACCCAGGAGGCGGAGGTTGCCGTGAGCCGAGATCACGCCATTGCACTCCAGCCTGGGCAACAAGAGCGAAACTCCATCTCAAGAAAAAAAAAAGTAAATAGATAAAATATGTTGCACCAATGATATGTCAATGTATTCATCCAGAAGATGGAATCAAAATTTCCCATCAAAACATGCAACACGATTCTACTCACCCCACTTCCATCTTAAATTCTATAATCCAAAACTTCTCGTCTGTCAATATTTGAAGGCTGCAGTTAGAGCGTTCATCACACGAATACTTCCCCAGAAACTCCGCAATGGAACGTTAACATCAGTAAATGAGGCTGGTTCACACAATGAGTTTATACCCATGGGAGCGGGTAAGGTTGAGGATATGTAAACAAGGGATCCAGGCTGGGTGCAGTGGCTCACGCCTGTAATCCCAGCATTTTGGGAGGCTGAGGTGGGCAGGTTACTTGAGGTCTAGCGTTTGAGAGCAGCCTGGCCAATGTGAAGCCCCATCTCTATTAAAAATACAAAAGTTAGCCGGGTGTGGTGGTGTGCACCTGTAATCCCAGACACTTGGGAGGGTGAGGGAGGAGAACAGCTTGAACCCAGAAGGTGGAGGCTGCAGTGAGCCAAGATCATGCCACTGCACTCCAGCCTGGTGACAGAGGGAGATTCCATCTCAAAAAAAAAAAAAAATTTAAAAAGCAAAGATTCCAGGCTCTCGGGTCTGTACTCTTGATTTCCAAATAAAAACCACCACAAAGGAAAAGAAATGCTGAGGCCGTGAGCATTAAGACAGGTCGGGCGATGGCTCACGCCTGTCACCTCAGCATTTTTGGAGGCAGAGGCGGGTAGATTCCTTGAGCTCCGGAGTTTGAAACCAGCCTAACATGGCAAAATCCCGTCTCTACAAAAAACACAAAAATTACCCAAGTGTGGTGGTGTGCACCTGTGATCCCAGCTGCTGCAGAGGCGGAGAAAGGAGGATCATTGAGCCCAAGAGGCCGAGACTGCAGTGAACCGAGGTCACGCCCCTGCCCTCCGACCTGGACGGCAGAATGAGACTGTCTCAAAAAAAACCCGGAAAACAAAACACAAAACATTAAGACAGATGAGAAGCTGCCCTAGATCAGAAGAGACAAAAGCCACACAATAAAACCCAAAGAAGCTGAGCCCGGAGGGATCCTGGACCGGACAGTGCGGCTGGCTGTCGCAGAGGCTGGCAGCAGGACGGCTGGGGAGGTCGGAGAGTGCTGTCTGCGTCCGTGTCCCCCACTGTGACCGCCGGGCTGTGGCCCTGTCAGCGAGTGTCTGTAGGAAATGGCAGGAGGGTCTGGGAGTGGCACAGCGTCCCGCCTCCAGCGTCCTCAGAACAGCAGCAGGCTTCGGGGAGAGAGGGCTTGAGGGGAAAGCAGCCGTGGGGAAACGCTGGCATTTGCGGGATGTGGGTGAGGGAAACACGGACGTTTCTTGCAGTATTTTCGCAACTTTTCTGTAAGTCTAAAATTATCTGAAGACCAGATGTGGTGGCTCAGGCCTGTAATCCCAGCACCTTGGGAGGTTGAGGCCGGTGGATCACCTGAGGTCAGGAGATCAAGACCATCCTGGGCCAACATGGCGAAAACTGGTCTCTGCTAAAAATAAAAAAAATCAGCCGAGCATGGTGGCAGGTGCCTGTAATGCCAGCTACTTGGGAGGCTGAGACAGGAGAGGCGTCCCTTGAATCTGGGAGGCGGAGGTTGCACTGAGCTGAGATCGCGCCATTGCACTTACAGGCTATTAAGGGTGAAACTCTGTCAAAAAAAAAAAAAAGAGGAAAAGGAGGAAGAAAGCAAGGAAGGAAGGAGGGAGGGAAGGAAGGAAGGGAAAAAAGAAACTGTTAAGAGAATGAAAAGAAAGCCACAGACTGGGAGAAAAATCTTTGCAAATCACATGTGTAATAACGGACAGATAACCAGAAGTTAGAAAGAAGTCTGGGGCCAAGCATGGTGGCTCACGCCCGTAATCCCAGCAGTTTGAGAAGCCAAGGAGGGATGATCCGTTGAGCCCAGGAGTTTGAGACCAGCCTGGGCTATATACCGAGACCCAGTCTCATTCTTTTTTGACAAAGTCTCGCTGTGTCTCCCAGGCCGGAGTGCAGCGGCGTAACCTTGGCTTACTGCAACCTCTGCCCCCCAGGTTCAAGCAATTCTCCTGCTTCAGACTCCTGAGTAGCTGGGACTACAGGTGCCCGCCCCCCCGCCTGGCTAATTTTTTGTATTTTTAGTAGAGACGGGGTGTCACCATGTTGGTCAGGCTAGTCTCGAACCTCTGATCTCGTGATCCGCCCGCCTTGGCCTCCCAAAGTGCTGGGATCACAGGCGTGAGCCACTGCGCCCGGCCTCAGCCTCTCACATTGAAGCCAAAACGTAAAGAAGTCTCAAAACTTACAAAATAAGGAAACGACGTGATTTTCATTAGTGGACCCTGGAGAAGATGCACGGGTGCGACTGGGCGCGCAGAAAGCGTTCAGCCTCATTCCTCACTCGGGAGGCGCGAACCGCAGCCCCGGCGAGACGCCACCACCAGGGAAGTGGCTAAAACGTAGAACCCGAGGACGGCGGGAGGAGCAGCCGGGAGCGCCGCGGCCGCGGGGGAGCGCGTCTGGGCAGCTGCTGGCGGCGCCCCACATCCCTCACCCCCGGCTCGGCCCCCCAGGTGTTTACCCAAGTGCAATGAAGACCTCTGTTCACACGGAACCCGCCGTGGAGGCGGCGGCGGCTCGTCCCCGAGCACCCCACGCGGAGGCGCCCGGAGTGTCCTCGTGGCGAGGGCCCCGGCGCGCGGTCTCGGCCGGAGGGAAGGGCAGGACCCGGGCGGGCTGCGGGCTCGGCCCCTCCTGAGCACCCCGGGGAAGGCCCAACGCTGGCGCCGCGGCCTCGAGGCGGGGGCGCGCGTGGGGAAGCCCTGAACCCCGCAGCCTGCGCAACGCACCGGGCCTCCCTCCGGCCTCGGAGGCGCCCTCGAGACACCGAGAGCGCGGCAGGCGCGTACCCGGCCGCTTCTCCCGGCCCCCCCGCGCGCCCCCAAAGTCCCCCGCGCGCCCCCAACCCCCGCCAGGCCCCCGCGCGCCCCAAACCCCCCCGCACGTCCCCAACCCCCGCCCGGCCCCCGCACGCCCCCGAACACCCCCGCGCGCCCCCGGGTCTCCCACGGCAGGAGGGGAGGGGTCTGCGGGTGGGCGGGGCCTCAGCCGAGCCGGGGGTCGGAGGCGGGCCGTGCGCCAAGCCCCGCCCCCGCGCGCCCCCGCCGCGCCGCGGTCGGCCGTCAGAAAGGCGCGCGCCCTCGCCTTTAACGCGGGCCCGGGGGCGCGCGGCCCGCATGGCGAGGGAGCGGCGGCCGCTGCGGGCCGGGCCGGGCCGGGGCTGAGGCCGAGCGAGCCGCGGGGCCGGCGCAGCCCCGGCCGGCGCCCACCATGCGGCGGCTGCGGCGCCTGGCGCACCTGGTGCTCTTCTGCCCCTTCTCCAAGGGCCTGCAGGTAAGCGCGGCGCGCGCCCGCCGCCCCCGCCGCCTCTGCGCGGGGAGGCCGAGGTCCAGCCGCGGGGGTGGGCCGAGCGCGGAGCGGGCCCCGGCTTCGGACACGAGCGGCTCCTGAGCCCGAGTGGGCAGGGGGAGGGGCGGGGGCTCGGGAAGGCCCGGACTCTGGGGGAGGGGCGGGGGCGGCTCCGGAGGCCCGGGGCGCGGGGCTGCTGCGGCCTGGAGGCCCCCCGACCTGCAGGCGGTCCCTGCCCCCAGGCCCAGAGGCCACACAAAAGTCTTTTCCCGTTTTCTCCACTTGAAAAATGAGGTGTGTTATTCTGCGGTGGAAAACTTGGGACACACAGAAACGCCCTGGCAAGGACGTGACCTCCCCGCCCCCCCCCCGCATCCCATCGGCCGGCCTTAGCGCGGGGACCCTGCGCCGACCCCCAGATGACCTTGTACAAGTCACCGTCCCCGCCAGGGGCCTGGCCGGCCCAGCGGGGGAGGCCCGGGCTGCCCTGGGTTCCAGCTGCTGGGAGCCCCTTTCACCTTCCGCTCCGGGGGGGTGCGGGCCAGGCCCGTCAGGCTCCATCGCTCCGGGCGGCCTCTGACGGGATGCCATCCCAGGCCCTCCAGGACCCCAGCCATCGGCCGGAGGAGCCGGCCCTGGTCAGATCTGCCTGTCCCTCCCTGGCCCCCGCCCAGCAGTCTTGGGGTCAGCAGGAGGATACCTGCCCGGGTCCTGCCTGGGCTCAGGGCCTGGCTGGCCTCAGCTCCCCTTCTGGGAAGAGGGTGTGGAACCCAGCGAGACCCTCTGTGCCCACCTGGGACTTCAGGGTGTGGTGGTCCCGTCCCAGCCCAGCCCTGGGGCAGAGTTGAGCTAAACGGTGTGAGACCACCCCAATCGCTGGGAGTTGGGGCATGCAGTGGTCCCCTGCCCGGAGGAAGGGCCTGGACCAGCAGCTGCAGAACAGATGCCGATGCCAGGAGCTCCGCCCAGGAATGGCAGGAGAGGGGTGCTGGCTGCTCCCAGGGTGGCTGGCTCAGGACCAGAGCTCCATGGGAGCCCACCCTGCCCCTCCTGTGGCGTGGGCTCAGTCTCCTGGCCTTGTGAACTGCCCTCCTGGGTTAGTGCTGTGGAGCTCCCAGCCCATGGTCTGCACCTGCTGGGCTGAGGACTATGACGCTGTCGCATCCCCTGGACAACCCTCTACACCCTCGAAGTGGCTTCACCTGGAGCTGGTCCCCGCCTGCCCCTGCAAAGGTCCAGCCCAGGTCCCAGATGATGGGGCAGCTTCCACTCAACTTATGCCAGGCCCGGGAGTCAGGGTGGGCCAGGGAGCACTGTGGGGACCTTGCAGAGCAGCTGTTTGGGACCCCAGGACCCAGAGCGGGTCAGGGATGGCAGCTGGGGAAGTGCCCGTGTACGATCAAGGCCCGGGGGAAGGCTGGGCAAGGTGGCTCATGTCTGTAATGCCAGGACCTTGGGAGGCTTGGTGGGAGGCTGAGGCTGCACCAAGCTGTGACTGCACCGCTGTACTCCAGCCTGGGCAACACAGCAAGACCCCATCTCAAAAGGACAACAAAACAGCTGGGACGAACCAGAGCCAGCCAGGCGGAAACAGGCTGGGGCCCAAGCCCAGACGGGGCGCTGGGGAGCAGAACGAGACGAGTCCCCAGCTTGGCGTCACCGCCTCCAGCCGGGGTCACCCCTGGGCCCGGCCGGCCACAGCCTCCCCCTCCTGGCTTCCTCCGAGGCCCCGCCCATGCTGGGCCTCCCTCCATGGCCCTGCCTCGGGCGCGTTCACCCCAGAGGGAGCCGCCGGCCCTTACCCTGCCAGAACTCCCACGCCCCACTGCTTCTCTGCTTTCCTGTTTTTCATCTTGAGCAAATCTGCCGGAAACAGACGCGGTACCCAGGACAAGTGGTCTGAGGGGGTGGAACCCACCTGGGCCTGGAGGGCTCCCCCGCCAGCCACGTCGTCTGTTCCAGGCGACCCGGGATCCCACTGCCACCGGAGCTCCGGGCCCTTCCCCGACTGCTGGTGGTCCTCGCTCCGTAGCCCTGCCTGAGGTGGCCACCAGTGGGTGGATGCTGGGGAAGCAGGAGGCCAGGGCCCACCTCTCCGGAAAGATCCAGAAAAATGACCCCAGCTGCCTTGTCCTCGTTGAGAGGCTGGTGGCCTCATTTTAGGAAGGAGGTCCCTACTCTTGGCAAGAGCAGAGCTGTAGCCCATGACCTCTGATGGGTGCCCTGACTTGGCCAGGTGGGGGTGTGGCCAGGCACTCCCAGGAGGAGATTTGACCAGTGGGCATCCTCTCCTTGGTCACCGGTGGCCACAAGGGGCGCTTGGAGCCAGCAGTGGGGCCTCTCTGGGGGGAAGCTGGCCCCCAAGCCTGGACCCTTCTGCCTTCGGCTGCACATCAGGGATGTCTGAGCCCCTGCATGGGGCAAGTCCCCTCTGCTGGCCCCCCCTGGACAGTGCCTGAGAGGCCTGACATTTGCTAGGAGGCTGGGGAGAGGGTGGTGGCCCGCAGCTGTTCCTGGCCCTCACCCTTGGAAGCCCAGCCTGGAGGCCTAGGTGGGGATGGCTTGCCCAGCACCGTGAGCCAGCATGCTAGAGCCTGTACCAGCAGGGAAACTGAGGCAGAGGGACTGAGGACGGCAGAGGGACCTGGAGCCCTCCCTAAAAACCAGTTCCCGGACATCTGGGTCAGAGCTTTAGGAGGGGGCCAGGGGCTGTGTGCTTACCTAATTTTTTTTTTTTTTATGACGGAGTCTTACTCTGTCGCCCCGGCTGGAGTCTAGTGGTGCAATCTTGGCTCACTGCAACCTCTGCCTCCTGGGTTCAAGCGATTCTCCTGCCTCAGCCTCCTGAGTAGCTGGGATTACAGGTGCGTGCCACCATGCCCGGCTAACTTTTGGATTTTTCTAGACGGAGTTTTGCTCTTGTTGCCCAGGCTGGAGTATAATGGCGTGATCTCAGTTCACCACAACCTCCACCTCCAGGGTTCAAGTGATTCTCCTGCCTCAGCCTCCCGAGTAGCTGGACTTACAGGCGTGCACCACCACACCCAGCTAATTTTGTATTTTTAGTAGAGACGGCGTGTCTCCATGTTGGTCAGGCTGGCTTGAATTCTGCACTTCAGGTGATCCACCCGCCTCGACTTCAGGTGACCTGCCTCTGCCTCCCAAAGTGTTGGGATTACAGGCGTGAGCCACCGTGCCCGGCCTTAATTTTTAATTGTGGTAAAATACACATAGCATAAGATGTGTCATCTTAACCCTGTCGAAGTGCAGCTTAGTGGCACCAAATACATTCACCTTGTGTGGCGACCGCCTCCCTCCGTCCACACAGCTCTCCATCCCCAAAACCGAAGCTCTGTCTCCATCAAACACACACTCCCGCCCCTCCCAGCCCCCGGCTCCCTCACCCTCCTTCCTGTCTCGGTGGCTTTGGTGACTCCAGGGACCTCGTGTAAGTGAGGTCCTGCAGGCTTTGTCCTTTGGTGACGGCTCGTGTCACTGAGCCTCTCGTCCTGGGGTCCTCCCTGTGGCGGTGACTGTCAGGATCTCCTTCCTTCTCAGGGTGCAGTCATGCTCCGAGGTGGACAGACCGCCTCTGCTCGTCCACCCCCACTGTGAGCTCACGCACTGCCCACCGCTGGGCCGTCGTCAACGTCGGTGTCTCAATCTGCATCTTTTTTTTTTTTTTTTTTTTTTTTTGAGACAGGGTCTCGCTTTGCCACCCAGGCTGGAGCTGGTGTGCAATCACAGCTCACTGCAGCTTCCACCTCCTGGGTTCAATCGGTCCTCCTGCCTCAGCCTCCCAAGTAGCTGGGACTACCGGTGTGAGTCACCATGCCTGGCTAATGCTGGTATTTTTAGTAGAGATGGGGTTGCCCAGGCTGGTTTCCAGCTCCTGGGCTCAAGCGCTCCACCTGCCTCAGCCTCCCAGAAAGCTGGGATTACAGGGTGAGCCACTGTGCCCAGCTAATTTTTGTATTTTTGTAGAGACAGGATTTCACTCTGTTGCCCAGGGTGGTCTCAAACTCCTGGGCTCAAGCGATCCACCAGCATTAGCCTCCCAGAGGGCTGGGATTGCCGGCGTGAGCCCCTGCACCTCGGACCTGCGTCTCTTAAAGGCTTCCAGGATGTGGCTGGGTTGGGGTCCGGCAGCCCCGTTCTCCAAACCTGGTTCTCCCTGCTGGCCTGGTCCGGCCGGGACTTCCCAGCAGTCTGCATTACAGTGGGGATAATATGGGCAGCAGTGCTCCTGCTGGGCGCTGCTCACCTGCCTTGTGCAGAGGCGACAGTTACAAAATGAAGTCAGGACAGGAAGGTTTGTAAAAATGTCTTCGCTCAGCAAAGGAAAGAATCGGCCACCTGGTAGTCCCCTGGTTTTGACATTTATTTGTACCTGCCCCCACCTCCACCCCCTGCAGCCCCTGGTGTGTGACCCTGGAGAGGCAGAGCCAGGAGGGGGGTGTCACTGAGCTGGGGGTGGTTCTAGAAGATGGGGGCACCAGCTGGCCAAGGGGGTGGCAGGCAAAGACGGGTGGACCCGGAGGCCCCTTCTGTGGGGAGTGGGGGTGCCCCGAGGGCAGTCCTCACGCGGCCCCTTCCCCCACAGGGCCGGCTCCCGGGCCTGAGGGTCAGGTGCGTCTTCCTGGCCTGGCTGGGCGTGTTTGCGGGCAGCTGGTTGGTGTACACGCGCTACTCGTCGTACTCGGAGCTCTGTCGCGGCCACGTCTGCCAGGCGGTCATTGTAAGTGTCACTGTGTGGGCTGGGGACTGGGCTGTGCCCCCTTGCTGCCCAACATGCTGGGGCACCAGGCCCTGGAGACACCTTCCTCCCCGACCCAGGGCCCATGAGGCGTGTGGGTTTCCAGGTGGAATCTGCGAACCTGCCCCTGGCTGGGTGTGGAGGACAGGGCCCAGGGGAGACATGGGGGGCTGCCTCAGCACGGGGAGGAGGATGGGGGAGACATGGGGGCAGCTGCAGGAGAGCAGGAGAGGCTGGGGGCTGGGGGCTGGGGGCAGACAGCAGGGCAGACTCCAGAAATGTTTTGAGAGAGAGGCTGTTTAGCAGGAAGCCTGGGGTGGGTGGGCAGCTGGCCTTGCTGGCCGGGATGGAGGCCCCCGTACACTGGCCTCAGTGGCCTTTCTAGCTCCCCTGGGACCAGGGGTCCCCAAGGCTGGTGGCAGGGCGGTGTCCTCCACAGCGTCCCCCTCAGGGAGACAAGGCTAAGTCCCCTGGCATGTGTGAGCATGTGTGTGTCTGGGAGCCAGCGTGGCCACGAGTCCACACCAAGGTGACCCCCGGGCTCCTCTTTCCGTGTCCTGTGACTAGCTGGAGGGGAGCTCCAGCCCCCCCTTCCCGGCAGACCCTGGACTCGCCCAGAGCTAGGCAGCTCCCCCAGGGCATTTTGACCCCGGCCTGGCCGATGACCAGGGTTCCGAAGCTCCGTTCCCCTTGGGGCTGGGCCTGGGCAGAGAAGGGCCTGCCCTGTAGCAGCAGCTGCTGTGGGTCATGGAAGAGGGGATTGGGCGCAGGGAGACCCCAGGTTCAGCATCCCCTCTGTCAGATGGGGAGGGGCCTCTCCTGGCAGCTGGGTGGTGAAGCCAGGTGGCCGTGGGCAAACCTGTGCCCCACAGAGCCGTGTATGATAGGGGCCACATGTGGAAAGGCCCAGAGGTGGCAGGAGGGAGGGGGGTATGGGGTCTTCTGTGCCCAGGACTTGTATGGAACCCATGCCAGCCCATGGGAGGGCTCCAGGCCCCTGGCACTAGGCCTTGCTCACCCTCGAAGTCCAGGGGGCCTCTAGGCTCAGCGTGGCATGGGGGTGGTACATTGGGCTTATCCTGGGGCCATGGGTGGGGAAGGCTGCACCCTGAGTCGTGCACCCTGGGGACTCCTGGAAGGACAGGAGGTGGAGGGGCTGAACCTCCAGGCTGGGGTGGGAGGGAGGCGGCGGGTGGGAGTGGGCAGAGGATTCACATTGCCAGGAGGGTTCCGAGTATCCACTACGGGGTGCCTGGCTGCAGAAGCTGCTGAGGAGCAGGAGGTGTCCCCCAAACAACAGGAAGCTGCAGCCTCAGTTTCCCAGGGCGCCCTGGCCCTTTGCACAGCGGCCTCTCCATGGCTGCTCATAGCCTTCCCAGAGGTCAGGCCAAGCCCAGCTCTCCCAAAGCCACCTCGGGACCGTGGAGACATCCCCTCCTTTCCAGAGGCAGCTACTGCCTTGCCTCATGGGGGCATTGGACGCCTCAGAGAGGCGCAGAGGCCGGCCCCAGCTCACACATCGAGGTGGCATTAGTGCGGGGCCAGTCCCGGGTTCCACCAGGGCCCTCGAGAGGCCAAGAACTGCACTGAGTCCCACCAGGCCCTGCTGCAGACAGGAGACAGGCTGGGTGAAGAGGGACTGGCTGGGGAGCGATGTGCGGGGTGCGGGTGCCCGAGGAGGCCAAGCACACCCCCCCCGACCCTGCCTCAGCCTTTGAGGAAGCCCCTTCCCACCCTGCCAGGTGCAGGGAGGCACCCAGGACCGAGGGGCAGCCCCATCTCCCCACCCCTGGGGGACCCTGGAGCCCCAGTCCTAGCCTGGCAGAGGGCAGCCTGTGCCAGGAGCAGAGTCTCCTGCGGGTCTGGGGCTCCGAGCGCAGGGGGCTGTCTGGGGACGGGAGGGACCTTGCTGTGAAGGGCCTGCCTGCAAGGTGGAGGGCTGGACCAGTGCACGTTCCCATCATCCTCCTTTTCCGTCTGGATGAAGAGACGGCGTTTCTGTGCTGCTGGCACAGACGCTGCCTTCACGACTCACATGGGGAGTCCTTGGCCTCCAGTTGGCCCATCTCACTTCTGTCCCCATCCCTGGGGTACCGGGCGTGGGGGATGGAGGAATTGGGGGGGGTGGGGGAGGCAGGAGACCCTCCGTCCTCCCCAGCCCTGGAGGGTGGGATGTTCTGAAGCTCCCTTCCTGGCTCCCTGCAAGCCTGCTCGGCCAGGCTCCATGGCAACGGAGGCTGTACCTCCAGAAATTCTCCCCCCACCCACAGAGGGGTGGGCCAGCTCCGTGCTCTGTTGCCTCCCGTTAGGCGCTGGGATTCAGGGGCTGCCAGGCTCCCGGAGCTGGGCTGGGGACTGGGGAGCGGCAGCAGCCAGCCCCAGTCCTGATTTAATTACCACTAACAGTGTCTCCTTGGTGTGGCTAAGGAGGGGGCCTGTGGGACCAGGAAGGGCGGGCCGGGGAGTCACTGTGGGGCCCCGGGGGTCCATTTCTAAGCCTTGACAAACAGTTCTGACAACAGCCATAGCGCTTGAGCCTGGGCATTGGCCACGTTCGGCTGGGAGAGGAGGTCAGGGCTCCAGTCATCACGATAGAAACCAAGTTCAGAGATTCTTCGCTGACTGACCCGGACAGAGGGCGTCCCCCGAGAGGAATGAAGAGTCAGGCAGGGAGAGCGCACGTTGCAGCTGGTGGTGTAGACACGGGACAGGGTGAATCTGGTTCACCAGCCAATGCCTGGATGGTCCAGAGAGCCGGGGCTGCTGGCGGGAGAGCTGCCTCCAGGCTCTTACCTCCGGCCCTGGCCCAGCTTGGCCACTGGGTGTGGTGTTGTCTCATGTCCAGGCCGTGGCCTTGACTTTGCTGTCGTTACAGGATCCAGGATGGTGGGGACGGGACGGGACCAGACCGGGGGTCGGTGGGGCTGCCTCTGCAGCCAACAGGCCCACCCTGCAGCCGCCGATGGCGTGCGCCAGGGCCCAGCACTGCCTGTGCGAGGGGCTGGCAGCTTGTAAACTGCAGCAAGTGGAGGCCCCTGCCAGCTGGTGGGTGCTGGGCCCACAGCGTGGCTCAGGGATGGGCGTGGGCTGGAGGCAGCCCAGTCGCCAGCTCTGGCAGTTTGGGGGTCTGAGAAAAGATGGCCGAAGAACAGGGACCCAGTGGGTGCTGAGGCAGTGACCACGGTGATGGGGGCTTGGCCCTCCATGCCCCCTTCCCACCCACCTGGCCCTGCCCGTGGTCCCTCCCTCCCAGGGGTCCCAGAGGAATGGGTGCAGCTGGGCTTCAGATGTGTGGGGAGAGGCTCGGCAGGGCAGGGGGTGTGGCTGGCACCCCCACACTCTGCACCTGTCCCCTCAGTGGGGAGGTGCTCAGCAGGGCAGAGGTGTAACCGCCTCCCCCCCACACCCTGTATCTGTCCCCTCAGTGGGGAGGCGCTCAGCAGGGCAGAGGTGTGACCGCCTCCCCCCCACACCCTGTATCTGTCCCCTCAGTGCGGAGGGGCTCAGCAGGGCAGAGGTGTGACTGCCCGCCCCGCGCACACACACCCTGCACCTGTCCCCTCAGTGTGACCAGTACCACAAGGGCATCATCTCGGGCTCCATCTGCCAGGACCTGTGTGAGCTGCATCTGGTGGAGTGGAGGACCTGCCTCTCGGTGACCCCCGGACAACAGGTATGGCCTTGGGCGCGGAGCGGGGCCTGGGGCTGATGCGCCCGTGCAGGGGGAGGGTGATGTCTGCATGGAGGTCCTGTGGCCCTGTCCAGGTATACAGCGGGCTCTGGCGAGACAAGGATGTGACCATCAAGTGTGGCATCGAGGAGGCGCTGGACTCCAAGGCCCAGACGGATGCGGCCCCCCGGCGGGAGCTGGTGTTGTTCGACAAGCCCACCCGGGGCACCTCCATCAAGGAGTTTCGGGAGATGACACTCAGCTTCCTCAAGGTCAGGCAGCTCTCCTGGGGGGCTGGGCAGGAATCCACACCAGGGCATGTGCCCAGCAGGCGGCCCTGGTACCAACATGCCCAGTGCAAAGGCATAGATGGGTCAAGTGGGCCCCAGGCAGACCTTACAGCCCCCAGCCCCTGGGCAGGGGCCCTGCAGGGAAGGAGCCTCTCCAGGGCTGGGGGCAGGGGTTGGGGGGACCGGCAAGTTGGCAGTTGAGGCCCTGAGGTCAAGAGGAGGCTCCTGCAGTCCAGGGCCACGGGTCTAGCACAGCAGGTGCCCCAAGTAGAGACCAGGGCGTGCGGAGAGGGGCTGCCTCCCCGGGCTTCAGCCGGCGCATGCCCTCCGGCCGCCGATTCTCATCCTGGGAAGCGCTGAGGCTTCTCTCCCCAGGTGCCCAACCCCAAGCACCCCAGCTGCACCCAAGGCTGCCGGGAGGCAGGGAGATCTGTCTGGCAGCCGCAGCACAGGCCAGAGGGTGAGTGGGCACATCGCTGCTGCCTCCTCCACCCGTGTGGCTGCAGGCTGGGACCCGTGACCTGGCAGATGTGATGGTCTGGCCGGCAACCCGCTCTGCCGGGAGGACTGGGGCAAGGCCAGGTCATGCTCCCAGACACCAAGTCAACTGGGTTTTCCTTTCTTTTGGTCCCAAATGCCAGGCGAACCTGGGCGACCTGCCTTCCCTGCCGGCGCTGGTGGGCCAGGTCCTGCTCATGGCCGACTTCAACAAGGACAACCGGGTGTCACTGGCGGAAGCCAAGTCCGTGTGGGCCCTGCTGCAGCGTAATGAGTTCCTGCTGCTGCTGTCCCTGCAGGAGAAGGAGCACGCCTCCCGACTGCTGGGCTACTGCGGGGACCTCTACCTCACCGAGGGCGTGCCCCACGGTGCCTGGCACGCGGCCGCCCTGCCCCCCCTGCTGCGCCCGCTGCTGCCGCCGGCACTGCAGGGTGCCCTCCAGCAGTGGCTGGGGCCCGCATGGCCGTGGCGGGCCAAGATCGCCATCGGCCTGCTGGAGTTTGTGGAGGAGCTCTTCCACGGCGCCTACGGGACCTTCTACATGTGCGAGACCACGCTGGCCAACGTGGGCTACACAGCCACCTACGACTTCAAGATGGCTGACCTGCAGCAGGTGGCCCCTGAGGCCGCCGTGCGCCGCTTCCTGCAGGGCCGCCGCTGCGAGCACAGCGCCGACTGCACCTACGGGCGCGACTGCAGGGCCCCATGCGACAGGCTCATGCGGCAGTGCAAGGGCGACCTCATCCAGCCCAACCTGGCCAAGGTGTGCGCGCTGCTGCGGGGCTACCTGCTGCCCGGCGCGCCCGCCGACCTCCGTGAGGAGCTGGGCACACAGCTGCGCACCTGCACCACGCTGAGTGGGCTGGCCAGTCAGGTGGAGGCCCATCACTCACTGGTGCTCAGCCACCTCAAGACCCTGCTCTGGAAGAAGATCTCCAACACCAAGTACTCCTGATGTGGCAGCAGGGGGCCCTGGCCAACCTTCCTGGAGCCGGCCTGGTGCCTGGTGCCGGGGTCCAGCCCCGCCTCTAGGAATTAGTCGGAAATGTTAAATGCTGTTGCAGAATCACTCCCCTGAGGTCAGGGCCCTGGACTCCACACCACAGACATGAGGACATCCTAGCTCAGAGCAGAGGCAGGAGACCCTGGAAGAGGTTTGTTACTCTGAAGAACATGATGTAAATAAACAGCTTTTATGTAATGGCCAGGGCTGAGCACCCTGACCCCCATCGATGCTGCGCATGGGACCCTTTGCCCCACTGTGGATACTACCTGGCCCAGGCACCCAGACCGGGGTTGGGCCCCTGAATCCTGGGGAGGCAGCCCTCCAGTGTCAGTCAAAGGTGAGGTCTATTCTAGAGCCCCTGCCTGCCCTACACTGCTGAAGGTGCCAGGGCAGTTCCCCAAAAAGGAGCTTCTGAAGGAACCAATGACCAGGACCCCAAACCTGGACCATGGCACGACAGGCCAAGAAAAAGGCATTCTAGTGAAGCAGACTGATGTGGTAAAAACATTTTACAAAATCCAGCTCTGAGATGTAGAACTCACTCCCTAGGAAACAACCTCGCAATGGCCATCTTCTCCGGCCCTGTGCTCTCCCCAGTAGCCCAGGGAACCCAGCAACCATCCCCCAGGGGGACAGGCAAGGACCTGGGCAGGAAGACCCCAAAGCAGGAACACCGTTCAGTGCCGGCTCTGCTCCGCAATGGACGAGTCAAGACGCTATACATTCCGTTCCAGACCCATTTATTCTCAAATTTTGCCAACACAGAAATGTTATCCTTGAGGAAATGTGCATTAAATCTTTTAATTCACTTCATCCTGTATTTTAAAATAAATGTTTTCCATGTCGATTTTTCCCCCTTGGGGGAAAAAACAACAAAAACAAGATGACTCAAATACAGTAAAAAAATAAATAACTCAGGATCCTCGATTCCAGGCAGTTCAAAAATAGCCAAATGGTTCTTTCTTTCCACCAGAATACCACAATGGCAGAACTTAAGAATCGGGACACTAAAATGGAGGGGTGGTCCCGGCAGCTGCCCCCTGGCCAGTTGGAACACACAGCACTACTCAGGCAGAGGCGGTGGGCGTCCCGATGCCAGCCTGCCCATCCCTGGAATGAGAGCAGAGCAGGAGCTGCAACTGTGGCCCTGGGGGCAGGTGGGCGTGTGGAAAGCTGGGTTCTCAGGCTGCAAACACCCCGGGTGCCAGCGGTCCCAGAGGGAGTGAGGCCTGTACCTCTGTTCCAGCCAGCCTCCTGGCACAGGGCTGCGCCCACATCCCGGCCTCTGCACCTGAAAAATGAACAAGGACAGTGCCGCAGACCACGTTTCCTTAACCTGGATTCACCAAATGACCTTCAGGGAACACAATTTATGAATTCCCTAAACCTTTTTTTGAGACAGAGTCTCGCTATGTTGCCCAGGCTGGAGTGCAGTGGTGTGATCTCAGCTCACTGCAACCTCCACCTCCCAGGTTCAAGCGGTTCTCCTGCCTCAGTCTCCCGAGTCACTAGGATTAAGAGCACACACCGCCACAGCCGGCTACCTTTTGTGTTTTTAGTAGAGATGAGGTTTGAGGCTGTTGGCCAGGCTGGTCTCAAACTCCTGACCTCAGACGATCCGCCTGCTTCTACCTCCCAAAGTGGTGCTATAGTAGTAGTTTACAGTTATCTTTCCTGATACGACCTCATAGCGTTAAGTCCGACACTGGCACTGCTGACTTAGGGCACTCTTCACGGTGGGGCGCCCCAAGCATTGCAGGACATGCAGCGGCACCCCCACTCCCACCCATTTCGGGAAGAGGAATCCTGTTTCCAAAGTGACCCAGAGACACCTCCAGGCAAGGCAGCTCCTGACCCCTACCCAGGGCCCTTGCTGTGTGCACAGGAATTGCACCCCACGTTGGTACTGCTGGACAGGGCACAGCCTGTCCATCCCAGCTCAGCTGGTCTTGGTCACACTTGCCCAAGGCCTCCCAGACAGACCTGCGGAACCATTTCCAGAACGAGGCCTGGGAGTGGATCCACACTCACACCTCATTTATACATATCTATGCCTCAGGGTTCCCAGCAATGCTGCTGCCCCTCCCTCATGGAGCAAACCAGGTAAGGTGGTTTCCAGAGCGGAAACCCAAATGCGCCTGGCTTTGGCTTTGAGACATGTCAGGCTATAAACCATTCCCAGTGCTCACTGGCCCCGGAACACTGAGTGTAGAAATCGCCACTTTCTCTCTGCCCCGACGTCACAGGCACAGCAGAGCAACTGTCTGCAGTGCTGGCAGGTCCAGGACAGCATCTGCAGGGCAGCTGCTCACACCCACCCGGCAGCCAAGGAGGGAAGGAGGGAAGGCCAGCCTCAGCCTTGCCTCTTACCTTGATCCAGGCTGGGGCCAGTTGGCCTCGTCACTCTGGCCACTGCTCACACTGGAGTCCATCACAGGCTAAGTCACCTCCTTCCTGTGTTAAAGAACAAGAGTGCTTGGCACAGAATCAACACAACAAGGGGCTGTTGTTACTGCTATTAACTGAAACATCCGTCCACTGTGATCCTGACATGGTGTGTGGCATGGCAGGCGGATCACGAGGTCAGGAGTTCAAGACCAGCCTGGCCAAGATGATGAAACCCCACCTCTACTAAAAGTACCAAAAATCAGCCAGGCATGGCAGCACATGCCTGTAATCCCAGCTACTCAGGGGGGGCTGAGGCGGAGGCTGCAGTGAGCTGAGATTGCACCACTGCACTCCAGCCTGGGCGACAGACTCAGTCTCAAAAAAGAAAAAAAAAAAAAAAAAAAACAACTCACTAATGAAGGCTCTCCTGGTGAGGGCACCCTCTACCTTCCCACTGTCCCTTCAGACCTCTAGTGACCGGCGCGGCCAGCATGGCATGGCACGAGGGTGAGAAAGCCCACTCACAAGACCCGGCCTCTCCCCGATGCCAGTGCAGGAAAACAGATGCCCAGTCCACAAATCAGGAGTGTCAGACTATGAAACATTCAAACGTTCACTGGGCAGAACGCTGACCGTAGACATAGCCTCTCTAATCTCTGCCACCTACTGACACATATGTGACACAGCAGCCACATCTGCAACGCCTCTAGGGGCAGCATCAGGCCGAAGATGAAATGATTCCTTTTTATTCCCCTGGAGAGAGCCCTTCTAGCCGTAATATGAACGCAAGACCGACCGGTCCCTCCAGGTCCCTCCAGTCACAGAAGATGTCACACTGGGCGCGGTGGCTCACGCCTGTAATCCCAGCACTTTGGGAGGCCGAGGCGGGTGGATCACGAGGTCAAGAGATCGAGACCATCCTGGTCAACAAGGTGAAGCCCCGTCTCTACTAAAAATACAAAAATTAGCTGGGCATGATGGTGCGTGCCTGTAATCCCAGCGACTCAGGAGGCTGAGGTAGGAGAATTGCTTGAAGCCAGGAGGCGGAGGTTG